ACCTTACTACTTGGATACCCGTAGTAATTCTAGAGCTAATACATGCATCAATACCCAACTGCTTGTCGGGCGGGTAGCATTTATTAGATTGAAACCAATGCAGTCTTCGGGCTGGTATTGTGTTGAGTCATAATAACTGTGCGGATCGCGCTTTTGCGCGATAAATCGATTGAGTTTCTGCCCTATCAGCTTTGGATGGTAGGATATGGGCCTACCATGGCATTAACGGGTAACGGGGAATTAGGGTTTGATTCCGGAGAGGGAGCCTTAGAAACGGCTACCACATCCAAGGAAGGCAGCAGGCGCGTAAATTACCCAATCCTGACACAGGGAGGTAGTGACAATAAATAACAATGCTCTGGCTCTTCGAGTCGGGCAATTGGAATGAGAACAATTTAAATCCCTTAACGAGGATCAATTGGAGGGCAAGTGTGGCAAGCCTGGCTTGCTGTTTTCCAAGGCTTTTTCAAGTCTACACTGGAATGGGAATCAATACTGTTGTTCAAGGTTGAGCCCATACCTTCTGCCAAGTCCCGGTACGGCTACAGCCTCTTTGTGATGCTTCACATTGTACGGACTGTGGTTCTTCGCTGTTTATGGATGCACCGGAACGACATCCGCTTCCATGAACTCTCAGTCAACCTTATCGACGTACAAGCACAAGTCAAGGCGGTAGTGACACTCCACGTTGAGCGCTACTATCAAGATCTTCTGCTTAAAACACTGAGCCATTCTGGGTTTCAACGTCGGCACTTGCGGGACTTAGTGAGCAGTCTTGGACTCACCCTCGTACTCCCAGCAGAAACCGATACTGAAGACGCCCAACTGGAGCAAAACACAGCATAACTGTGTGCCATGGGGCCAACACTCCCAGGCTACAATTAACTCGCCCCTGACGATCAAGAGACTCACGACGGCTGCCACGTCGCCAAGGAATTACGCTCAAGTTTACGGCTACTACGCTCAAGGTTACGGCTACTCGGGACCCCACTCTCGACTACCATACAATGGGCACTTTCCAACCGCAAGAAAGGAAAGTGATTTTACCACTCTGGTATTACTAGAGTGGTTTTAGGCTGTTTTTTCTTCTACTGAAGATGGAAGAGGGGGCTCTCGGAACTCGGTCCGAGAGTCTCCGACCTCGAACGTCGTTCGTCTTTTATCTTCAGGGATTTCTTGGGATTTAGTTGAAGGGCGATGCCCGAGAACCTTGGCTCTCAATGTCCTCATTAGCCACAGATTCTTGCACAATTTTCTCCAATGGTGTTTGAGTTCCGTCTTGCAAGCCTACCGTGGTATCAACTACTATAGGAGGCTTTTTTAAAAGACCATCATCAGTCTGAATAGACGAATCCTGAGTGGATTGTCTAAAGACTGAGATGGTATTCATGACATCTGATGCCCATTGAGCATCTGCGTACATTCCTCGCTTTTGCTCCTCTCGTCTTACACGGCGCTTGACGCGTTCAAGCAGATCGAGGCGTTTTTGCTCGCGTTGAGCTAGTGAAGTAAAATTTGGGAACATTTTCCGATGATGCTATATACCAATCTCGAAATTAATTCCTGAATCGTGGTTTATATTCAATCTTCCCTAGTTGAGCTGATCGCTGGGCGTGTTGCTCCTCCCAGTTCTGCATCGTGTATTTATGAACTATTGCATTCCTTCTCTCGAGCAAGGATATATACGATTGTTGGCACTCATCGAAGGCGAGATCAAAAATCTCTTCGATCTCCTCTTTGGAACGAGGATCGTTGCAGATGAATCGATATGGTGTGTGCTGTTCCAGCTGATCCAGTCGATATTTGATATAATCACAGCGATTGATATCTACTATCATTCGATGATAAGCGTTAAGCTTCTCACTGAGAGTACGAACACGTCGATGCATCTTCTTGAGCTTCTTTTTGAACAGCTGAGTCTTGTAATCTTTTTCATGTTGGAAGCAATATCCGGAGGGTAGAGCCTCTCGCGAGCATTGCTCGTCAGATTTGGTCCTTGCGCGGCAAGTCATGGCAAGGCAGAGTCCGCTCGGACGGGGTTTCATCCGCGTCATAAGGCGACTTATGTCGTCGAATCGCAAATAAAGAGCCGGTTCCTACAAAGCTCCAAATGAGCTCAAAGTGGTTCAATCTGAAGCGACGGACGCAACTATATATCGAGGGGATATTATCGAGGCGGAGAGGATATTGGATGCCAAAAAAATGCGGAAGGGGTAGTATAAATACCTAATCAAATGGGTCGGTAATGAGCCAGACTCCTGGGAGCCACAAGATAATCTCAGACTTATTAAAAGGAACAAGATGAGTACTTTGGAAAAGAATTACTTCACGACCGTAGGAGCCAGTAATTAAGCCTCAATATCAAGTGACTTAAGATCATTAGGTAGCTTTATCGCTAGAGGCTTCACTTCCTCTTTTAGCACAAAGTGGTATGGTTCATTTTTTTTTAGCAGAGTTCCTTACTACTTTAAGAGGGGTAGAGTACTCGCTGTTATCAATAACATAATCGCACTCAGGTTCATCAATATATTCAACGTCATCGAGACAGATGTCCATAGGACAATCTGTCGAATCGCAATAATATAGCTCCATGCTTTCGCTATACTAATATGAAAGTGTACCACAAAAAAACATGGATCCGGAACATAAATTTAGTTTATGTTCCGCAGCTCAGGCTTTCCAGGAAGGACGCGTGGATACAGCGTTAAATAACGCCGTCCAAACGAACGTTTAATTCCAATGCTTTTCTGTGGCTGTGAATCAATTCCAAATCCCCCCCCTCTTGCGCGTACGCAAAACGAAACGCAATACAGGCAGACAGAAGCGCGCATTGCATCTGAGGAAACTGCATACGACGACGTATGCCGCTGTAGCTGCCGAATCAAACACAAGCGCACACCGGCCTCCATCTTCGCCACGTGCACTTTATGTCACGTGCCCAAGTCTTATAGATAAACGTTTATATTGGTCACCAAGTTTGATTCATATTTCGCTACGTATTGCGAAAGGACATTTTAGGTACAAAACCTGGTTTGCGAAGCAGCAGAGAGCATATGAATTGACAATTTCTGCTTCTGTTAGAGCTATTACATGTACAAACGAACATCCACGACTCGAGACAGAAGAAATAAAAAGTTCAAGAACAATACGCGCACCAAGGGCTGACTCGGAGCTGCTTCAAAACGCGGGGTTTCCTCACTGTGTTGTCTACTACCTGTGCACTCACACCGGGAATCCAAGAAAACGAAACGCAGTGAAGAGACCTCGGCAACATGCCAGGCCTCTTGGCTGCGAAACAAAGGGTAATTTGATTCTGTCGAATTATTTTTAGTATTTTGCGTACTGAGTTTTATAATGTTTTTGTTATAAAAGTTGTCGCTCCTCCAGAAGCGCAACTATTACCTCGTAGTTTCTCTACGCACTGTGTCGCCCAACCACAGGGTTGGTAAAGCAGAACAACTCCGAGCAATTTGACTGCGCCTCAACACGGGGACCCTGGACGAAGTAAACAAGCTACTCCCAATCGCAGCTCCGAGGGTCTGCTTGTCGATACAACTCACGGTACCAACTCCGAGCGATTCAAGCTTTTTTCTTTCATGGTGCACGAGATTTGTAGACACAGACAGCACATCCAGGTAAGCTGTCGGAAGACTCAATGTTTGCCGTGCTCTGAATGTTAAGCGGAGATCTCCAATTT